TCCTCAGTTTCTTCTGGGATAGGAGAAGAGATAAAGATGGTAGAGGCAGACAATTTTGTCAGGGACTTTTCTGTATGAATGGGAAAGACAGAGGGATTCTTAAAAGATGTACTTTACTCCTCTGTGAAGTAGAAGATGAAGACTTTGCCTGGGAGGGGATAAGTGGAAGAATAGAAGGTTTGAGGATGGAGTTAAAGATTTGAAATTGCTTTTGTAAAGAATCAGAGAGGAGGGGCTGGGATTGTGGCTCAGCGATAGAGTGCTCGCCTAGCACACGCGGAGCCCTGGGTTCGAGCCTCAGCACCGCATAAAAATAAATAAAACAAAGGTATTGTGTCTGACTACATAAAAAAATAAATATATTTTAAAAAATCAGAAAGGATTTGATTTGGTAAATAAAGGGTTTCTAGGCAGTATTGATGGTCATGCCCTGAGTGAAAATAATGAGTTTGTAGTAGTTTCTGTATGCATACTCTTATGATTTTTCTCCTGTAGTAGTCAGAAGCTGGGATGTGAATTTGAATGGCAGGATAGATCCAGGGTTGAAGAGTTGCATAGTGGTTGCTACAGGAGCAGAAGAAGATAAAAAGTATTAAGGCAACAAAGCAACCAAAGCTGAGCTGTTCAGAGAGGATTTTATGCCAGAAAGCATAGTTTAGGATGCCATGAGAAAAAAGGAACTAGAGATGTTCATGAAATTAAGTAATGGGTTATAAGGAGAGATGAGAGTGAGAAAGCTCAAGAAATAAAAGATTGGAATATATGAATTTAAGATTTAGAGAAGGAATTGATCCCAATGACTACATGATGTGAAATTTGATCACTGATATGGATAGCTGAAGTAGAATGAAGTGAGTCCCTAGGAGGTAAGTCAAGAACTTTCAAAGATGGAAGAGTGGTGGCTATATCCAAGAGATATAGGCTGGATTTGGGGTAGAAAAGTAAAATTGACCCAAAATTCAGGGAGTTCCAGGAAGTTTGTTTATAATAGCATCAAACAGAGGGTTGTAAAAATAGAATGACAATAATCTACAATGAAGAGTGATTTTTACATGAGGATGGACAATAAAGTAGTAGTCTAGAAGTGGCCATGGTGGCTACTGGATCTATGGCACCTGATTTAAAGAATGAATAGTGCTGTGAAAGCTGAATTTTTTTGGGGGGAAGAACCATCAAGTTTCTGTTAAAGCAAAGAGATGATGAGAGAATTCTATAAATTGAGGTTATAAGAAAGTTAGTTAACGAAAGAGTTTCAAAGGGCAGAGTAGAAAGAGTTGGGTGAGAGCACTGAGAAGATATGTGAAAGGAGGGGAAGCAAAGCACAGCATAATAGGATAAGAGTCAGGAAAAGACAAATCATCAGAAGGGTGTTTACATTCTTCATGTTAGCTAAGGATAACATGATTACAAAGACATGGTAGAATTAGTTGGTGTCAAGTTTCCAATTGGAATTTTTTTTGGGGGGGAGGGTACTGGGGATTGAATTCTGGGGCACTCAACCATTGAGCCATATCCTCAGTCCTATTTTGTACTTTTTTTTTTAAATTTAGAGATAGGGTCTCACCGAATTGCTTAGCACCTCACATTTGCTGAGGCTGGCTTTGAACTCATGATCATCCTGCCTCAGCCTCCCCAGCCACTGGGATTACAGGCTTGTGCTTCAAATGGAATTTTGATCAAAGTTCATTTATTCATTTAATAAACAGTTACTTGAACACCTAAGAACAGTGCCAAAATTTAAACCTAAATGAGGAAGTAAAACAGATGAAGTCTCTGCCTTCCCAAAGATTACATTCTAGTGACAGAGATGGACAATGAGCTAGTAAATAATTTCACACAGTGATAACCACTGTGAAGAAAATAAACCAGGGTACACTCAATAAATAACTTTTTCATGAGAAAATAAAAAGCAGGATAACTGCATAAACAATAATGGATAGATGAACATCCTGTTTCAGAACGAACAAAGAAAACATCTTTGAGAAGGTAATTCCCTTCTCCCTACATTGTATTGGGAAAATTTCCAAATGTATAGAAAATTTATAAAATTTGCAAGGAACACCCTATATTTTTTAATTGCTTTTATTTTTTAAATACATGACAGCAGAATGCATCACAATTCTTATTTCACATATAGAATACAATTTTTCATATCTCTGTATATAAAGTATGTTCACACCAATTCATGTCTTCATACATGTACTTTGAATAATGATGTACATCACATTCCACCATCATTGCTAACCCCTGCCCCCTCCTTTCCCCTCCTACCCCTCTTCCATATCTAGAGGAACACCTCTATCTTTACCTATAACACCTATGATAGATTATTATCAATGTTTTATTGCCTTTTTATGAATTGAGGCCTGAATAATGTGAAGTGAACCATGTGGGGAGAAAGAGTATTCTGGGACAATAGAAGAAAGAAGGTGTAAAGATCCTAAAGTAGAAATGAGTTTGAAATATTCAAGGAACTTCCAAAAGGCAAGGGTGGTTTGATCATAGTAAACAAGAGGAAACATGGTGGAGATGAAGTCAGAGATGTGGGTAAATCATGTGTCTTTTATCATCTTTGTAAGGACTATGGATTTCATTTCAGGTGTGACAGGAAGCCTAGGAGTATGTTGAATATAACTACATTCATGTTGTGAGCAAAATAGGTTGCATATGGGCAAGAATAGAATTAGAAGAGTAAAAAGCTATTGCAGTAGTTCTAGGCTAATGTGTTTATGGAAGTAGTCAGCAGTGTTTAGGCTCAAAATATATTTTGAAGGTGGAGATGACAGAACTTGCTATTAGAGTGAATATGGCATGAGAAGGAAAGAGGACATAGAGCTGACTCCCAGCAGTCTTTAGAGTCAATACAGGCTATGAACTAGCTGGAAGTGTCAGAGGCTTAGTGATGAACAGGTTGGGATTTTAAAAGGTTGGTAAGAGGTCTTTCTGGTAACTTCCAAAGAAATTCTAGTCTTCACATTAGAAAGATTAATAACCCAAAGTGCATGAGGATGTATGAGGGAAAGGGGAATCAGCCTATATGGAAAAATTCAGGATTTTTAACGCTTCAAAATCTCTTATTGGAAGGAGAAATCCTTGGGATAATGGAAAAGACTCAGGCTTTTTTGGTAACAAGGAGTTGCACTTAGCTGATCTCACTTTTTTTTTTTTTCTTTTTGGTACTGGGGATTGAACTCAAGGGCATTTGATTACTGAGCCAAATCCCTAGCCCTATTTTGCATTTTATTTGGAGACAGGGTCTTGAGTTGCTTAGCACCTTGCTTTTGTTGAGGCTGGCTTTGAAATCGCAATCCTCCTGCCTCAGCCTCCCAAGCTGCTGAGATTGTAGGAGTGCACCACTGCACCCAGCAACTGATCTCACTTTAAGGACAAATAAATCCAACAACAAATATATATATATATATATATATTATATAGGACTATTATGTTTTTTTTTTAATCAAATTTCATGCCAAGGTCCAGTTGTCTTACATCTGGAATTTGTGTCATCTTCTTACTGATCTGCTTCCAACCCCTCTTCATTTAGAATTTTTTTTTTAATAAAAACTGCTGTCCTGTGATTTGTCTAAACCAATACTTGTTAAGCCATTAGTGTTGAAGAGCCAGCTTTTAAAAATTATTTTCAAAAATTTAATTGACATTTAATTTTTTAAATTTTATTTTAAAAAAATATTTATTTAGTTGTAGATGAACACACAGTATCTTTACTTATTTTTATGTGGTGCTGAGGATCAAACCCAATGCCTCACACATGCGAGGCAAGCGCTTTTACCACTGAGCTATAACTCCAGCCCCCTTGACATTTAATTTTTAATTGTACATATATAGTAGGTACAGTATGATAATTCAATACATGTATACAATGCTTATGATCAAATCAAGGTAATGCATATATCTGTCTCCTCAGACATTTATACTTTCTGTGTCAGGAACCTTTAAACTCTTCTAGTTATTTTGAAATATATAAAAAATTGTTGTAGCTTATAGTTACCTTGCTATGCTATTGAACAGTAGGATGAATTCCTCCTATCTAATGGTTCTTTGGTACCTATTATCCAGCCTCACTCTACCCATTCTCTCCACTACCATTCCTAGTCTCTAGTGACCATTATTCAACTCTACTCCTATGAGATGAATTTTTTTTTTACCTTTCATGTATTTTTAAAATCTCCACTCTTATCATGGAGTGATATTTCTGTAGGATACAATATAAATTAATTACCTGAAATTGTGAAATTAAAAAAAGGTAACAAAGTACAAGATCAATCTTATAATAATTAGGTTCAAGTGACATAAAATTATTGTCAGATTGGCTAATGAAAATTTCTTAAAATTCACTCTCAATATAGGTATTACCTTGTCCCAGACTGGTAACCACACAATTTGTGGACCACATTCAGAGTAGCCGTGGCATAAACCATTCCAGATATCAGATGTTTCATATATGTTAAGTCAAATATAAAGTTTCTACCACTGACCTCTAACCTCATTTACAGTTCAGTTTTATCTGTCTCTCACAGGTAAGCTCTTACTTCTCTGTTACATGAGCAACTATATTTAACTCCTTTTTATCTGCGTTTGCTTACTCAAAATATCCTACATTTCATACACATTATATCACAAGTAAAATATTTATTCTCCTTACAAAGCTTTCCTAGGACAACTATATCAAATTTTTACCCATTTGGCATTTGAATTTTTTGTATTTATCAGTACAAATTTACATTATTTGTATTATTTCCTATAGTAAAACATAAATTACTTGAGAGTAAAGCCTAATTTTTACTCTAAATATAAAAACGTATAGAAATAGCAATATGGATACCCAAACATTAAGGAGTATGTAAAATATTGCCTGCCTAGGAGTTCTTGGACATGGGGAAATAAAGTTCTGGTGTCTATGTAAATATGTCTTTTACTATGGGAATTTGCATTCACTCCCTTTTTCCCCCACACCCTGCTTTGTCTTATTTTCTTACTAGGCCTATCTCCATTAACTCTGGACCCTAAAACAGCTCACCCAAATCTGGTGCTATCCAAAAACCGGACGAGTGTGTGGCATGGTGACATTAAGCAGGTAATGCCTGATGATCCAGAGAGATTTGACTCAAGTGTGGCTGTACTTGGCTCAAAAGGCTTTACATCTGGAAAGTGGTACTGGGAAGTAGAAGTGGCAAAGAAGACAAAATGGACAGTTGGAGTTGCAAGAGAATCCATCATTCGGAAGGGCAGCTGTCCTCTAACTCCTGAGCAAGGATTCTGGCTTTTAAGACTAAGGAATCAAACAGATCTAAAGGCTTTGGATTTGCCTTCTTGCAGTCTGAAACTTACTGACAATCTCAACAAGGTGGGCATTTACCTAGATTATGAAGGAGGGCAGGTGTCCTTCTACAATGCTAAGACCTTGACCCACATTTATACCTTCAGTTGCATTTTCACAGAGAAACTTTATCCCTACTTTTGTCCCTGCCTTAATGATGGTGGAGAGAATAAAGAACCATTACATATCTTACATCCACAGAATTAGTCATACTATTGTATAAATTCAGAGAATATTAAAGAAGTATTGAAATAGTTTACCAGTCTCACTGGATTCTCTTCCCAATTATGGGGAACTCTGTATTAATGAAAAGTAGGGTTCTCAAACTGAATTCCATTCTCAGTGTCCTAAATGGATTTCATCAGAGCCTTTCAAGATGACCTTCTACTTCTCTGGAGTCTTCTACAACACAGAAGCCACTCTCCTCTAGTGACCATCATGTTCTTGGTACTGGAGCAAACTGCAACTTGAGTTTGTGGTGCTTGGTAACCCTTTAAAATATGCCCAGGTATACTATCATGATATCATTGGAGCAAACTGCAACTTGAGTTTGTGGTGCTTGGTAACCCTTTAAAATATGCCCAGGTATACTATCATGATATCATTATTTTCCAGCATAGTGACTCTAGGTTGATTAATTTTCACAACATGCCTCTTCTTCTTTCTATTATCTTTTGATAATTTTCATTTCCTTTCTCTTCTAGAAATTTTTACTGTAATCTTAAAAAACTTCCTCCAGAGACTTAAAGAAAAAAGAATGAAATGATCTGAATTAGTTTATAATTTTGTATTAAATTTTCTCAGCATACTTTTTAGTCTAATGAATCTCAGACATGTTTTCTTCCTTTCTCAATCCCTTTTCCTGTTTATCTACGTTGAAGGACATTTGTTTTTCTGTGTTGAAATATATTTTAGTATTTCCATCTACTTTTGACTATATCCTTTTTCATCAGTCTTGCTTACAATTTTAATAGCAGCACTTTTTATCTTGATCTCCAATATACTCATCCTTCAGTTTGTTCCTTCCAAGTCTAAAGTTCTTAGTATCATTGATCTCAGCAGTACTCTCAATGAAATGTCCTTATTTTTCTTTCCTTAGAAATCCCCATCTAAATTTGTTTTGTTTTCTATAGCTAGAAATTTTGAGAGGACTTTTTAGGACCTGCATTGTTATCCTTCTAAAATTACAAAAAGATTTTTTTTTTTTGCAAGGCAAAAGCTGGTGGTCCCATTTGTCTAATGGGAGAAATAATATTATAGATAATATTAATAAAGCATTGGCATATATGACTTGCATATATTTAAATTTTTTTAGTACTGTGGATTAAACCCAGAGGAGATTTACCACTGAGCCACATTCCCAGTATGTGTGTGTATATATATATATATATATATATACAAATATATATATATATATATATTTGTTTATTTATTTTAGATTAGGCCTTGCTAAGTTGCTAAAGCTGGCTTTCAACTTGCAATCCTCCTGTCTCAGGCTCTGAAGCTACTGGGATTACAGGCATGTGCCACCATACCCAGTGAGGCAGTTGTAGCTTCTAAAAGCTCTCAGGTGATTCTAATGTGTGGCTAGGGCAGAAAATCACTGAGCTAAGATAACACACTTTATTTTTAAAAACTTTTTATTTTAAAAATAATTCAAATTTAGGGATAGGATATACCTTAGTGGTAGAGTACTTACCTAGCATGTGTGAAGCCCTGGTTTTAATTTCTAGCACACTACACACACACACACACACACACACACACACACACACACACATATTCAAACTTACAAAAAAGTTGTACATGTGAATGATAAATTCCCATGTTTTCCATCTAGACTCAGCAATTATTAAGATTTTGCCACATTTTCTGGCCTCTCTCCTCCACATCCATCCCATATGATTTTGTGCATGTATATAGGTAACTATTATTCATTTATTTCTGCTGAACCACTTTATATTAAATTGCAGGCACTGTAATTCTTATTCCTTATACTAGCAAGTATCTCCTAAGAACCAGGTATTCTCTTACCTAAGCACAGTACTAAATTATGAAATTTAGAAAATTGATCATTGACACAATACTAGTAGCTAGCATATAGTCCATATTAAATAAGTATTTTTAATGGCAGAATTTTAGGCACTTGGTAAAGAATTTCAAGTACCATGACAAAAAAAGAGGGTCTAGTGCTTTGTTAGAATTCTAAATAATTGGTATCTAAAGTCTGTTTTGAGGATAGACAAGTGCTAGAGTTTAGAGAAAAATATACCACAGTGAATCTCACCATTATCTCATCCACAAGACACTAATTTAAAAAAAAAAAAAAAACAACCTACAAGTAAAAAGCAGGAAAGATCGGTAGAGTAAAGGGAAGGGAACGAGGGGGAGGAGGGCAGGGAAGGGGAAATACTGGGGGCTGAATTAGAACAATTTATATTCCATTTTTTTATAATTGTAATATATTCTATTGTCATACATAACTAAAAAGAACCAATTAAAAGTAATCAACAGAATAGGACAAAATTCTATGGAAAAGTTGAGTAAGTTGGAAATAGTGAAGGATGAATAGGTATGAAAATATTTTAATCTAAATTTGGAAAATAACGTCTTTAAAATGAATATTTATATAATAATGGTTGCATAATGATATTAATCAGAAATTAACAAACTGTATACTTACAGTGAGAAAATTTTACAGGATAGGAATTATACTGCAAAAATGCTTTTTTTTTAAAGAAAAAAAAAAAGAATTTTTTTAAATGACCAGAGGAATAACAACAGACTGTAGGCATACACATATGTTCCACTATTTGTAGGTATTTACCTTAATACTTTCTCTGACATAATAATCTCAGCTCTCTAGTATTTTGTTTTCTAGAAAAAAAACTTCAGACAAATACCTCTAATAAACATAGAAGCAAAATTCTCAATAAAATTCTGGCAAATCAAATTCAGAAACATATCAAAAAGATAGTACACCACGATCAAGTGGAATTCATCCCAGGGATGCAAGGTTGTTTCATCATACGGAAATCAATAAATGTAATTCATCACATCAATAGACTCAAAGGTAAGAATCATATGATCATCTCAATAGACGCAGAAAAAGCAATTGAGAAAATAGAGCACCCCTTCATGTTCAAAACACTAGAAAAATCAGGAATAACAGGAACATATTTCAACATCGTAAAAGCTATCTCTGCTAAGCCCCAGGTCAACAACATTCTAAATGGAGAAAAATTGAAGGCATTCCCTATAGAAACTGGAACAAGACAGGGATGCCCTCTTTCACCACTTCTACTTAACATAGTTCTTGAAACACTGGAGCAATTAGACAGATGAAAGAAATTACAGGGATATGCAGAGGAAAAGAAGAACTTAAATTAGCACTATTTGCTGATGATATGATTCTTTACCTAGAAGACCCAAAAAAGTTCCACTAGAAAACTTCTTGATTTAGTAAATGAATTCAGCAAAGTATCAAGATATAAAATCAACACCCACAAATCAAAGGCATTTCTGCATATCAGTGACAAATCCTCTGAAAGGGAAATGAGGGAAACTACTCCATTTACAGTAGCCTCAAAAAAAAAAAAAAAACCGAAAAACAAACAAACAACAACAACAAAAACCTTCAGAATGAACTTAGCAAAAGAGGTAAAAGATCTAAACAATGAAAACTACAGAATGCTAAAGAACGAAATCAAAGAAGACTTTAGAAGATGGAAAAATCTACCTTGCTCTTACATAGGCAGAATTAATATTATCAAAATGACCATACTACCAAAAGCACTATACAGATTTAATGCAATTTCAGTCAAAATCCCAATGGAATTCCTCATAGAAATAGAAAAAGTAATCATGAAATTCATCTGCAAAAATAAGAGACCCAGAATAGCTAAAGAAATCCTTAGCAGGAAGAGTGAAGCAGGTGGCATCACTATACCAGACCTTAAGCTATACTACAGAGCAATAGTAACAAAAACAGCATGGTATTGGCACCAAAACAGACTGGTAGATCAATGGTACAGAATAGAGGACACAGAGACTAACCCACAAAATTACAATTATATTAGACAAAGGTGCCAAAACATACATTGGAGAAAAGATAGCCTCTTCAACAAATGGTGTTAGGAAAACTGGAAATCCTTATGCAACAAAATGAAATTAAACCTCTATCTCTCACCATGCACAAAACTCAATTGAAAGTGGGATCAGGATTTAGGAATTAAACCAGAGACCCTGCGTCTAATAGAAGAAAAAGCAGGTCCTAATCTTCATCATGTTGGATATGGCCTCAACTTCCTTCATAAGACTCCTCTAGCGCAAGAATTAAAAATCAAGAATCAGTAAACGGGATGTAATAAGTTTCTTCTCAGCAAAAGAAACAATCTGTGAGGTTAATAGAGAGCCTACATCTAGGAGCAAATTTTTACCCCTCACACATCAGATAGAGCACTAATCTCTAGGGGATATTTTTAAGTTCTGTACTGAACTTAAAAAGCTAAACACCAAAAACAACAACAATAAAACAACAACAACAACAAAAACCAACAACCAACCAAACAACCTCAACAACAACAAAACAAATAACCCAATCAGTAAATGGGCCAAGGACCTTAATAGACACTTCTCAGAAGAGGATATACAATCAACAAATATATGCAAAAATGTCCATCTCTAGCAATTAGAGAAATGCAAATCAAAACTAAGCTAAGATTTCATCTCACTCCTGTCAGAATGGCAGTTATTATGAAGACAAACAACAATAAGTGTTGGCGAGGATGTGGGAAAAAAAGGCACACTCATACACTGCTGGTGGAACTGCAAATTGGTACAGCCAATATGGAAAGCAATATGGAGATTCCTTGGAAATCTGGGAATGGAACCACCGTTTGACCCAGCTATCCCTCTCCTTGGTCTATACTCAAAGGACTTAAAAACAGCATACTACAGAGACACAGCCTCATCAATGTTTATAGCAGCACAATTCACAATAGCTAAACTGTGGAACCAACCTAGATGCCCTTTAGTAGATGAATGGATAAAAAATGTGGCATATATAACAGTTTTACTCAGCAATAAAAGACAATACAATCATGGCATTACAGGTAAATGGATGGTGTTGGAGAAGATAATGCTAAGTGAAGTTAGCCAATCCCCAAAAAACAAATGTCAGGAGTCTGATTTATAGTGGGGTAGGGAGGGGGAGCATGGGAGGAATAGAGAAATTCTAGATAAGGCAGAGGGGTGGGAGGGGAAGGGAGGGGGCAGGGGATTGGAAATGATGGTGGGATGTGATGAACATCATTATCCAAAGTACATATATAAAGACACACTTGGTGTGAATATACTTTATATACAACCACAACTTGGTGTGAATATACTTTATATACAACCAGAGTTATGAAAAAGGTGCTCTATATGTGTAATATGAATTGTAATGCATTCCACTGTCATAAATAAAAAAATTAATTTAAAAAAGAAGAAAATGGATGTTCTTTTTTTGTTGTTGTTTTCAAATGACCAGGGGACTAACAACAGACTGTAGGTAAACTCATATGTTCCACTATTTGTAGGTATTTACCTTAATACTTTCTCTGACATACAACCCCAGCTCTCTAGCATTTGTAATATTAATATTGATGACCCACATTTATTTTCCCACAGTTTTTTAGATGATTGGTTATTCTGTAATGAATAATTTGATCAATCCCTTTACATAGAACCCAGAATGCAACTAAAGGCATAATTCTTACTAATTAGTATAAACTGTAAAACACCAATATGTGACTCCTTGCTGGAAACAGACTGTGTTTTACTTTTCATAGCATTCACAAGAATACTGTTCACAAGGACTATGCTATATATTGTATCTCAGGCTACAAGAGATGAAGCTGAGAGCAATGATAACATCTTTCATGATTCAGAAGGTAAAAGAGGTCCCAGTCAATGTTAGGATTCGCTTAAGTGAGAACGTCAAAAGAGAATTGCTTGGGCCTATAGTTGTGGCTCAGTGGTAGTGCACTTTCCTACCATGTGTGAGGCACTGGGTTTGATCCTCACACCACATAACAAGAAAAAATAAACAAATAAAATAAAGGTTAAAAAGAGAGAGAGAGAGACAGACAGAATGCCTCACACTTTTCTTGAAATAATTGGGCTTTTAGAAAAACAATAATAATGTAATTGTACAGTTGTATAACATAGTTGAGATACAGAAGAAAAAAAGCCAACAAAAGTGCAGTATCAGATAGTTCCAGGGAAAGAGAGGATCTGGATAAGTTAATTTTCCAGATGGGTAATGATGGCTTATTTAAGGTCAAATATTTATCTACTTTAGATAAAATCTTCCAAAATTGCTGTATTTTCTTATCTCAAAAATTTACAATTTAGCCGGGTGCAATGGTGCACGCCTATAATCCCAGCAGCTCAGGAGGCTGAGGCAGGAGGATGGTGAGTTCAAAGCCAGCCTCATCAATGATGAGGTGCTTAGCAACTCAGTGAGACCCCATTTCTAAATAGAATACAAAATAGGGCTGGGGATGTGGCTCAATGGAGAGAATGTGGAGAATGTCAACAAAACCAGAAGTTTGTTCTTAGAAAAAGCTAATAAAATTGACAAACCTCTGATGAGATTAGGAAATTAAAAAAAGATAAAAATAATATAAAAAAAGAACAAAAAATCATGCCTACAGAGCTTGCAGACATTAAAAAAGATAAGAAGAAATTTTAGGATAATTTTTTTATCAACGATTTTGAAATTTTTATTAAAGGGATCCAACATCAGAAAACCAAAACTGACATAATGGGAGGGAGAACTAACTGTAAGAGGAAAAACACCTTATTTTCAGAAAACTGGAAATTTGAGCACTGGTGCTATTTGTATTAAAGAAAAAATTTTAAAGTTGTGGTAATAGTATTGTGGCTTTTTTTTTTTTAAGTCTTCTTCATCTTTTGAGATACAAAGTGAAACACTTATAAATGAGATGATAAAATGAGTTTTGCTTCAGAATAATACTGGATGCCGCAGAACTTGAGCCGTCGCCTGTAAGAAGCCAATACTTGATCAACACTTAGTGTTTAAAACTTATCAGCGACTGCAACCTTCAGGTCGCTCCCGTACCTCAGCGGTCGGGTACTGAACCTCCTGGCGGCGCTCACTTCAGGCGCGTCCCGCCCTTTGCTCTTGGGAACCAATCATCGAGCTCAGCTGGGGACCTGGGACCAATCAGCGATCTCAGCTCCGGCCCCTTCCCCAGGTCCTCGACGGGGAGGCAGCGCCATGTTTCAAGGGCAGAGCGGTTGGTTTAGCGGTAGCGTCAGCCGAGAGCTGAGGCAGTTTTGGGGTAGGAAGATGGGTGCAAGAGGTGCTTGAGGCGGGGAGAGGAGCACCTCTCCTCCTGATGCCTCGGTCCTAGCGTGCCTGCTGGGCTTATCCTCTGCTTTTGTCTCCATAGTGGCCGAAGGGGGAACAGTCAGCGACTCGCGGGCCGCAGACTTCTTGTTCAGTTGTGACGCCTCGCACCCAGACACCCTGAGGTACCTGAGAGCCGCCTGGCAGTGCCTCTTGTCACGACGAGCCCAGGGATGGAAGTTGCAGCCCGCTAATAAATATCTATGATAGAGGGAGACTGGAAACAGTTTTAGATGTAATTGTTTTTCATCCTCAAGGCCCTTGTCTTTGGAGGTCTCTGATTACCTGGCTCATTTGCCTGGACCGTCACAGTAGCTTTCCAAGAGCTTCCTTTGCCTGGAATCTGTCCTCCAAAATCTCCTTTCGCGTTGCTACCACATTATGTTTGTAAAGCAGAGATCTGCTCACGGGCCTCCCCACCTCTATTCCCCTTCTCCCTTCCTGATTACCTACAGATTTAGATTTTTGGCTAGAGCCCACCTTGTTTATTTCCCAGTTTCTCCCTCATTCCTTCCATAAGTCCAGTCTAAGGTGTCACTGTGCCTTCGTGTTTGTCATTCTTTTTTCTCTAATGCCCTTCCTCTTCTTTCCACCTTTTTACAGATCTAGGAAGGATGTTGCTTTCTATATGTGAAGGCTTCCCTGACTGCCTGCCCACACCCTACCTCCGAATTAACTAAGTTCTTTACAGCAAAGACTATGGGTAAAATTTGCAGGCTGCTGGCTCTCAATCCACTGTTTATGTCCTGTTAAACAGTATCATCTGAGGTCAAGTTTCTAAATTTATATAATGATTGATGACTTCTCTAAAGCTGAGATTTGTCTAGATGTAGGCCCCCAAATAAGCAATATGCCATGTTTTTCTTTGTCAGGAGGGAAAAAAAATGTAAGTCAGTCTTCTATTGTTTTATTATTTCTTTTGAAAGGTTGAATACATTCTCGTTTATTTTATAATCTAAGTGATTTCCTTTCTTTCTCTTAGAATATATGAAAGCCTTGATTACATAGAAGATAATGCTACAATTTTTCATGCCTACTATCTCTCTGCAGTAGCCAATGCTGAAATTAAAAACTCGGTGGCTTTAGGTCATTTCATTCTTCCTCCTTCATGTCTACAAAAAGGTTAGCAAAGATCTTTCAACCAATCTCTGTTAGCCAAATCCAGCTAATTCCTGCTAGACAGCCAAATTCAACTTACCTTTGTTCTCAAATATTTTTGTTTCGTATCACATAAATGGAAAAACCATGGACTTCAGATGAGATTGCCATGAGTATCTATCCTGGCTTCATTTAGCATTCATACATTCACTGAGTATCTCCTATATGCCAGGTTCCAATGCAGAAACAGGGATTCGGTGGTGAGTAAGGCAGATACAGATCTTGTTCTCAAATGCTCATTGACTAGAATCCAACGGTGAGCATTTAATATTGTCTTCTTTGCTAGTTTTGAATCTTTTCATTATGTTTCTGAATTTTTTAAAGATTCGTTATGAAAATAAACTCATATATTTGTCTTTTTTTATGCTTTCTTTATGCTTTTGTTTCAACACATTTTTATTTCAACACATTTATTTCAACAACCCTTTGATGTAGGAATGGCAAATAAATAAAGTATTTCTGAAATGTTTTCTTTCAGGTTGCCCTGCTTGGAACACCCTTTCTTTTTTGAGTTAACTTTAAAATCCCACTTGCATTATTGCCAACTCTTGACCTACATATTACCCAGTAGATATGTGTCTATCTCTGGAAAGACAAATTGAAAGCTGTTTGCAAATTCCCACTGTGGACAGTATTAAAATAAAAGCATGGGGTTGTAGCTCAATGGAAGAGCCTTGCCTAATACCTGTGAGGCACTGGGTTTGATCTTCAGAACCACTTAAAAAATAAAATTTTTATGTCTATGTACAACTTAAAATATTAAAAAACAAATTTTAAAAGTTCAGACATTTTCATAGAAGAGCATTTAGAAATTCCAAAGATTGGCTTCTTCTATACTTGTTGTCCTACTTAGACCTAAGTATAACTTACATTCCCAAATCATTACAAATACTTATACAAATAATGACTAAATAGATTTATTCAAAAACTATTTGTATCAATTAGTGAATACCTAATAAAGAATTTATATTGTAGAATGACTGTCTAATCTGATATAAAATGATCATTTCTATTCTGTCTTTGAAATTAGCATCTTATATTAACATGTTCTTAAATTTTTAAAGATGTATTTTTAAAAAAATTCTAAAAAAATAAAAAAGTATACATATTTATCTACTTGAGTATGGTCTACTGGAAGTGTGAGATGTGAATGTGAACCACATGTGAATTTTAAGTATTTTAGTAGCCACATTAAAAAGAAAAATAAATAGGTGAAATTAATTTTAAGAATATATTTATATGTATTTATATTTTTAAGAGTATTTTATTTAGCCTAACATATCCAAAATGTTGAGGTCTCAATATATAATCAATATAAAATTATTGACATAATTTATTCTTTTTGATCCTTAAAAAATTTGATCTTCAAAATCCAATGTTACTTACAGCACATCTCAATTTGTAGTAGTCATACATGTTAAATACTCAGTTCCTATATTTAGCAACTTGCTACCATACTGGACAGCAAATGTCTACCTTTTTGTTCTCTAGTGGGCTACTTTGGAAACTTTTGAGACTTATTGAAATTATTGAGATTATTGAGGAGATGACGCAGTCCTTTAACATACCAAGTATTGTAAATTTCTGCCTATTAGATATATTTTTTAATCTTTTCCTTTAATAAATTAATTTTTGAAAATCTCTGCTCTACAAACTCCACAATTTTATACTTTTAATTTTGATTAGACAATCATCCTCTTTAATAACATTTGACCTAATAGAGATGCTAACATCTAATGAACAAATATATTCCAGTAGAAAAACAAACAAAAAAAAAACTACAACAATGATTCTCAAAATGCATTGAAATCATTTGGGGAGTTTGTTAGAAATGAAAATTTCTGAGCTGTCCCTTAATGATCTGATTCAATATGAATCACAATATGAGTATTTTAGGTGAGTTTGATACCAGGAAATAAGGCTGACCTAAAAATTTCAAACTTCATGCAAAATTCAGAATTTACTTTTTTTTAAAAATATATATATTTTTTATTTTAGCTGTAGTTGAACACAACATCTTTATTTTATTTATTTATATTTATGTGGTGCTGAGGATCAAACCCAGAGCCTTGCGTGTTCAAGGCGAGTGCTCTACTGCTGAACCACAACCCCAGCCCCCAGAAGTAACTTTAAAAAAATAGTATTGGACTTGTTTTTCTCACCACAGAAATAAGAAGAAAAATTGGTAGTTTTATTTGGGAACAAGACCAGAATTTTCTGATAGAAAAGGTAAGAGTACATTAAAGTAGTTGATTAGAATCTGCAGTATCAAATTTTTCTTAAAGCAGTGTAATTTTAAAAATGTTGACTTGTGATATGTAGTACTTATGAGCCAGATTAAGGAATTTAAAGGGTTTAATTTCATTGAATATTATGTGGTTTGACTTTTTTATAATAGCACATTGTTAAAATTGAGGTATTTTGTAAAAATAAAACTATTAACATAAGAAGTTTGAAAATTTTCTTCAATCAGTAATATCAAGATAACAATAGATGCATGGTATTTTTACCAGTTCCTCACTGCTGGTATCAATTCTGATTTATTAATTGTTGAATGTTTTGAGTACCACTCTTCAATAACTGTGCATAATACTGCTTTTTAGTTTTTGCCATCCTGCCTCAAATTTACCTTTTGACTTCAAAGTCTTTATGCAGTTGCTAACTTTGGATAATTTGAGCATCGAAAAGAATAATGACAATAATAAATTATGATACATTAAATAAAAAAGAATCCTTTAGTCCGTAATGATACTCCAAAAACAGAAAAAGAAAAAGGACAAAAGGAAGACAAGGGAGGAAGAAAGGAAGAATGGGTAGAAAGAAAGAAGGAAAGAAATGCTGGGATAAGGAACATTTTCATTACAGAATAATAATAGCTAAAAAATATAGGAGGGATGACAGCAGAGAAAAATCCTGATTTTATAGCCTCAAGCTAATAATCAATCTTGGCAAGGGTCATTAAATGATGCTAAAACCATGATCTCAAATTGTCATCCAGAGATTACTTATTAATTTTAAAGGCAAGCAATGAATTTTTTAAATGGACATATCTGGAAGATAATACCTTATCAAGTTCAGCATCACCAATATTGGAATAACCTCTCATTATGTTCAGTCTGGTGTGATTTAAGTATACAGTATTAGTTGTGTAGCATTCTTGTTCAAAGCATTTAATCTGAATCTAATTCAGGGTTAATCAAACAAATCCAGAATATGGATTATATACTTTGAGTCAACTAACTGACCTGGACTCTTTACACAGTCATAAAAAACAAAAAAGGCAAGAAGACTGTTCTATATTGATCCAACAACCAAATGTGATATTTAAACCTCAATTGGCTTTTGTATTTAAAATTTTTTAATTTTAATATGACAACAGAATGCATTGCAATTCATATTACACATATAAAGCACAACTTTTCATATCTCTGGTTCTACACAAAGTAGAGTCACATCCTTTGTGTCTTCATACATGTACTTAGGGTGGATTTTGTATTTTTGAAAACAACAACAGGAAGGTTGTAAAAGGCATCTTGAGAGCAACTAGAAAAATTTTTTGATGGACTAAAAAATAATATCAAATTAATATTAATTTTCTTAAGTATGATAATACATTTTTAAAGAAAATTAATGTTAGGTACTGAGGAATGTAAATGTCACAATTTCTACCAATTTTTACCCAATGGTCCAGCTAAAATATAAAAAAGAGAGGGTACTCAGTGTGGCAAAAATCTAAATCTAGATGAAAGGTATGTAGTATTATACTGTTTTTAAAGTTTTGGGTAAGTTAAAATTTTTTCACAATAAAAAGGAATAAAATCTTTATAATTTGCCCAAAGCCAAGTGATTGACTTATATATTTTGCTGGGCTCAAAGTAACCGAGCCGCACTTATAGGTTCAAACAGGAACTCCTTTATTGCCCGAACTCCACCGGCACTCCACGGCGCACTCCCTGGGAACTCTCTCCACCCTCTCTGGGGCTCCATGGGAACTCCACTGGAACTCAAAAGTAGCGGGCGCCCGAGGCAGCAGGAGCAGCCCTATTGCCGGATCCGCCAGACAGCAAGGGTCTATATACAACTGAAAGCACAGCCTGTTTCAATCCAGCATTATCCAGTCACAGCAATTATACACACCTTAACTTAATTATCATCATCTTAATGGCGGCACCTCTCAACCACTCCTTCTGGCAAAATGCCATGTGCCATCCTGACTCGGCTGTGGCTCTCAACAATATTTCATATTCCTTTTAATTTTTTTTCTCAAACTGTCATCATCTGAAAATAATAGTTCTTTCAGTTTCTTTGGCTAGGAAGTAATAGTGTGTTGTACTAAAGATGAAAATACCCAATCTTTGACTTGTTTCCAAGAAGATGAGTGAAGATGGAATGGTTATTATTGGACAAAGTATTGAGTAACAGATTCATAGAGCTTAAAATAACCTTAAAGATCATTAATTTTTAGTTTTACAAATAAGAAAACTTATTACAAATAAAAAAACTTATTGCAAATAGGAAAACAGAAAGAAAAGACCTGTTTTAGTTCACATAACCATATGTTAGCAAAAGTGGAACCAAATTTCTTACCTTCAACCCAATCCAATGTTTTTACAGCTAAAAACAGTATAACATGTTTTATTGGCTGTTGACTAGAAATTATATTATTATAAAGGATTTTGTCAATTCTTTGAAAGTATTGATCAATTTTGCCAATTAAAATGATTAAAACAGAGAACATATAAGTAAAATGTACTTTATCAAATGGGAACAACAAGGATAAGTCTGGAAAGTAATTTGGGGAATAGTAGTATTGTTTGGAGTAGATTTCTGATGTAAATATAGAAATTTCCTAATGATATATTAGGTAAATACACTATTTAATAGATATCAGTACCTGAGTCACTTTCACAAAATCTTTTGGAAAACCTTAGTATAATTTTAGTTCTTTTACAACTCTAAAGCTGACTATTGTCACTTCTACATAGAAACATATTTGTTCAGCATTCTTGTTTTTGATTTATAGCTTACAGGAAGTCCAGGATTAAGTCAAGATTTTAAGAAAAATTAGTAACACTTTTCTTTCTTTATTTTTATTACTAAAAAGTAATATGATCATATTAGAGAAAATTTTAAAAATTTAAAAATAGAATAACATTATTCTCACTCATTTACTCACTTAATAAATTATAGCTGGTATTTTAAAAGTTCTGGTTTCCTTATATCTCTAAAAATATGTCATATAGTTGTATACATGTATGTACAAAATTTTGTAGGTTTCTCCAACAAACTAAATTGAATGGACCTAAAGTATAAATATTTTATGATTCTTGAAATATATATATATGTACATATATATGTATATGTACATATATATATGTGTGTGTGTATTCAAGAGTGATATATATAAATTTTTTTCTTTTTTTTTTTTAAGTATTGATTGGATCATTGGTGTGCTGAATTTTAAAAATGTGATTTCTTTTGCTATCTGCAGCCTGAGGAAATAGCATCAAATAAAATAAAAATCAGTGAACTAGCAACAGAGAACAAAAAAGAATTATCCAAAAGGTATTGAATTTGTATACTTCACTGATACTCAATTCAATCTTTGAGCAGTAATTGTGTTTCTATTTAATTTTCACAGTCTTCCTATGAGATTGGTATTGTCATTATTACCATTCCTATTTACAGAAAATTAGATAATTTTCCCAAAGTTTTAAGTGAGGTAGAAGTAAGATTTGCACTGGGTCAGCTTAATTACAGAGCCTGTGTTTAGTTATTCTGCTATACTATTCTTGCAGAAAGGAAACAAAGATTTTATGAAAGTTATAATAACAGTTACATTAATATTACTTTTTAGTTATTAGGGATTGAACCCCGGGCCTCATATATGTTAGGTAGGTGATCTAAGCTATCTCCCCAGCAATTTTTATATTTTATATTGAGATAGTGTCTTCCTAAATTGCTCAGATTGACCTTGAACTTAGATTCTCCCACCTCAGCTGTTTTAGCCTTCCTATTTTAGCTGAGATTACAAGCATGCACCACCACATCCAGCAGTTACATTATTATTTAAATGAAAATACACTAAATATTAGCAGTACTTTGAAAGCTGTGAGTGATTTCCCTCCCTTCTTTCCAAATTGTTTATAATGTGGTGACTTCAACTTAAGAAATCAAATTTAAAAAGACAATCAAACATAGACTTACCAAATCTAGTACAAATCTGAGAGGCTCCATCAATGCAGACTCATTCATGATCTAGTCCTAATTCAATATTTTCCAATTCTGTGGTTTTCAAATACTCATGGAGAATATTATTTAAAAATCTGGTATTTTACTGCTGAAATAAAAATGATCAAATAGTAGTTTCTTTACATGAAACTTAATGGCTTAATTTATATATTTTTTCAATTTTAACTTTTCTTCCCATTAATGTTAATTTTCTTAATATGCAGAGAAGTCTTATAAGTCTGGGGAAAATATGTCCAATCCAAAAACAAAAATTTAAAAAGGATATCAATTATGAATGATTATGAATTATGAATTATTATAAATTAGGTTGTTGTCTGCCTAGAGCCTTTTCTTTGTGAAACCACCAGAGGGTGCAGTATGAACATAAATAAAATATACCCTGAGCCTACCTATGAAGCCTTTATTTTATTGGAATACTATTAGTGATATTGAACACTTACTAAATGGGTAAACCCTTATTTAACACTTGATAAATACAAGATACTGGTGAGCTAAGCAGGTTACAGAATTTTATTTGATTCTCACAACTTTATGAGAGAGATAAATACTATTAGCCTCATTTAAAACTGAGAAAATGGTTTCAGAGCTAATTTCTCCTGTTTCATTCAAGGAGTGGAATTGAATGTAAGACCAAGTCTAGCTGATCCAGAGTCCATACTCTTAACCACTATGCTATTTTCCCTTCCCCAAATGTTTCCCAAATCTGAAACTTGCATAAGCTTTTATTTATTGTTTGTTTTTAGTTGTTATTATAAATGTAATGCATATAATTTGCCAAAATAGGAAATATGGAAAAGACTAAAGAAAATTTGAATTACGATCAATGCCACCATTCATTAGTACCTTTCTTGCCAATTTTATGCAAATATACGCAGTTTTAATAGAGTTGAGGTCATTCTGCATAGGTAGTTTGACTCTTGATTTTACATTTAGTATTCTACAGGCAGCTCCCATGTTGAAAATACTTATTGATATTATGACTTATAATGGCTGCATATGATATTTCATATTGTTTAACCATCTTTTTGTTAATTTATTTTAATTATTCACAATTTCTCTCTTTTATGACAACTTCACAAACATCTTTTGAAAATAAATCTTGCTATATCTATTTGTATACTACAAATATATATAATTATTTGTAAATTAAAATAAATTTTGCTTTACTTTTTATAATTTTCTTATTGTAAATTCTCAGATATGAAATTTAAGATATAGAGATATGAAAATAGATAGATAGACAGATATTGGGGATTTAACTTAGGAGTGCTTTACTACTGAGTCATGTCCCCATCCCTTTTTATTTTATTTGACACAGGGCCTCAACTAAGTTGCTGAGGCTAGCCTTGAACTTGTGATCTCCTGCCTCAGCCTCCCAAGTTGCTTGGATTGCAGGCATGCACCAGCACCCCTGGCTGAGATATAATTATTTTTAAAGACCATGATGAATATTGCCAGTTGCTTCCCACAAAAGTACAAATTTAAACTGTTACCAATGTGGTCTCACCACATCTTTACCAGTATTGAGTATCAATAAGAAGCCTTGTGCTAATAGATGAAAATGTCATCTTGTTTTAATTCACATCTTTCTTTGATTGCTAATTGGTTTGAACCTCTTCTCGTTTGTTTTCTAGCATTTTGAATTTCCTTTTCTGTGGCTTATTTTTAAACTTTCTCCATTTTTCTATTGAGGATCTTATTGTTTTTTCTTATCAACTTGTCTTTTATAATAGCTATATTATTCTTTTGTCAATTTGATAAATTGTATCTTCGGTTTATTGACTTGTTCTTTTTTGGAGATGCTCATTTTTAGTTTCTACATCATTAATCACTATTCTTATCTTCTTCTGTTGCTTCTATATTCAGAAAAGCCTTTCCAATTCAGAGATCAAATAGGTTTTAGATTCTGCAGATATTTATTTTGGTGTATAGTATGAGGTGAAGATCTAATTTTATTTTTGTTTTGCAAGTAACATTTCCTCCAGTTGTGATCTTCCTGTCTCAGCTGTCTCTTGAATAGCTGGTATTATAGGCATGAGCTACCAGGTCTGGCCTCCTCCAGTTTTTTAAAAAATAAATCTGTTTCCTACTTGTGTGTGATTTCCCTTTGTCATGTTTTTTTAAATATATATGAAGATCTATTTTATTTATTTATTTTATATTATTGTGGTGTTGGGAATTGAACCCAGGGCCTTACATATGCTAGGGGAGTGCTTTACCATTGAGTTACACCCTTCACCATGAAGATCTATATTTAAACTATGTGTTTTATTCCATTAATAGAATAGGTGCTAAATTAGATAACTTTATTTATGTATTTTAATACTTGACAAAGTATTAAAACCAAGACTCATTACTCCTTAAAAAAATAATTTCCTTAGCTATGTGCATTTACTTATTATTACTGTTTTTCTTTTTTTTGGATGATATATTTACATGGTTTGAAATCCAAGATATGTAAAAAGGGGTACTAGAAAAATATACTGACTACTATAGAAGCAATCAATATTATCATATATATTTATATATATGTGTGTATATATATAAATAAATTAGCAAATTCATCTAAATTTATTTCTTTTTTTCTTTTTTTCTCTACAAACACTGTTTTGCACCTTGTATTCTTTTTCACTTACAATGTATCTTGGAGGTGATTTCATATTACAACATAAAAAGCTTTTTCACTTTGTACAGTGTAATAATTCATTATATGATTTCACCATAGTTAAATAGTCTTCTATTTTAATAGACTTCTAGATAATTTCTAATTTGCTATTAAAAACAGTGTTTTGGCACTATTTGTAGTCATTTTGCATGTCTGCATATATCTGTAGGATAGTTTCTTAGAAGAAAAATTACTAGGTCAAAAGGCATGTATCTTTGATAGTTCTTATCAAATTGCCTTGAATAGAAGTTAAACCAATTTACATTTCTACTTTTGTATACAAAGATGGTTTAGTCTCAGACTTTTCTAAGAACACAATTTTGTTTTATTTGAAGGATCTCATCTAAGTGATACATAGTTTCCATTGGAAGAACTTAAGTGAAATCTAAATTTTTAAAATTTGAAAATAATACTTTTACTATTAATTTAGTTTTATACTTTTAGAAAATAAATTTAATTAATAAAGTTAGGGATAACTCCATTTATTAATTATTCTTAATTACTAAGGTTTTAATTTTCCTACTATTTATTATCTATTGGATATATGTAGTCTAAGTATGATAAGTGCTGTTATTTGTATAGTTAGCAAATAGGATATTTGCTGGTGTGTACCAGTAGTCCCAGAAGTTTGGAAGACTGAGGCAGGAGGATCACTTGATTCTAAAAGTTTAAGGTTTGACTGGGTGATATAGTCATACCTCATCTCAAAAAAAAAAAAGATATTTCACTTGAAAACATTTCAGCTTTTACAAAATTAAAATAAGGGGTTGGGATTGTGGCTCAGTGGTAGAGCGTTTGCCTAGCATGTGTGAGGCACTGAGTTTGATCTGTAGCACCACATAAAAATAAATAAATAAAATAAAGGTATTGTGTCCATCACAACTAAAAAAAAATTCTAAAAATTTAAAAATCTAATTATGCAACATGACCACATAAACATGATTAAATTTTTTTTTTTTGGGTACCAGGAATTGAACCCAGGAGTGCTTAATCACTGAGCCATGTCCATAGCCCTCCCCATCTTTTTAAATATTTTATTTAGAGACAAGGTCTCACTGAGTTGCTTAGGCCCTCAGCCTCCTGAGCCAGATTTAATTTTTGTAAACTGAAAAATCACTTCAAGAATCTTATAGTCTTCCCAGACATTTTTTTTTAAATTTGGTATTGTGAAGTGTGAAAATACTAGTAAATAGTATCTATATTATTTGAATGCTGAATAACAAAGGTGCTGTAATCATTTAAAATAGAGTACTGTGTTTTCTTTTGCTGATAGCATAGCTAAACATATATTTTTAATTATAAAGAATTATTGAATGATTGTGCTTCAGGGATATATATAAAATGTCATATATATATGGCTTACTGTATGTTTCACTTTACAGCATAGAAAAGAATTTTATAAGGACTCCAGTTGTAGAAAAGCAAATGTACTTCCCTCTTCAGAATTATCCAGTGAACAACATGGTAACAGGTGACTTAAAACTTAGAGTAAACCCAGCTAGAAAAGAAATAAGGAAATAGTGTTTAGAATAAAGCTGCTGTTGTAATTCAAATGCCTAATAAGTAAGAGCTCTAAATTATATGTGATAATGGAAGAGATATTGTCTACATATTAAATAAATTAACCTGCAAAATTAATCCAAGGATAGGTCTCATATTTTGTGCTAGAACAGTGGTCTCTAGGTAGGGTAAATACAGTCCCAACTTATGCTTGTTTTCAGGCATCAGTTTTGTTTGTTTGTTTGTTTTGTTTTGTTTTATTTGCAGTCTGGGGATCAAACCCAGGGCCTGCGAATGTTTGGCATCAGTTTGTATTTTCAAGTATCCCAGTTTGGAATTATGTGGAAAACCCCAATAATAATTTTCTTTCAGGGTCTGATGAAACCTAGGCCCCTTTCTTTATCATGCTTGTGTGTAGGCATGTGTGTGTGTGCTTGCACACATATACACTACAGACTTTATACAAAATTTAAGAAGATTCAGAGATGCCCAGAAGTCTATTCAGAGATCACTCAGTGTTCCACAAAAAGGAAAGTCAGCTAACAAGTTGAACTTGAGAAAGTGATGAGAGGATAGAACTAACGGAACCAGTTGAAAAGTGGCCACTGGTATTTGAATAGTTTTGAGTGAGGCAGATATTTTCTTCCACATTTTTATTTGGTGCATTAGAGGTAGATATTTGTATACTTTTATCTGGGCAGTACTCAGTGAGGTTACTGATGGTTATTTTTAAAACAGCAATTTTATATGGTTGGATTCATAGTTAACTTATTAACTACAAATTTCTTATTTAAAACAAAGTAGGTATAGATATCCTGTTAAGCTAGATGGTAGTGTTTTTTTAAATTCAATTATACTTATACCAGAATTTTTTCACTTTTTAAGTGTTTAAGTTAGATTTCAATTTTAGTATAAATCACAAAATTTGCATGACACATAAAATATAATCACTCAAATAGTAAGCGATTGCTATCAAATTTTTGCTATTGAGTCCTTAAGCTCTTTCCATTTGGGCTGGATTTCTTTTTTTGTTTTTTTATTTTGATAGTAATATCTTTTTCAGATTATTATGACATCAAATTGCTCACACCATAACTTTTCTTGACTGAGCAATAATGTCAATTTTCCCATTAAATTTTTTTTAAATAAACCTTTCTTCCACTATTTGTTTTTTTTTTTAAAGAGAGAGAGAGAGAGAGAGAGAGAGAGAGAGAGAGAGAGAGAGAGAGAGAGAGAATTTATTAATATTTATTTTTTTAGTTCTCGGCGGACACAACATCTTTGTATGTGGTGCTGAGGATCCAACCCGGGTCGCACGCATGCCAAGCACGCTACCGCTTGAGCCACATCCTCAGTCCCCCCCATTAAATTTTTACAAAGACTGTTGTCTTAGTGTTAGCAGTGCAGGAAAAGTTGTCTGTTCTAATAGGAAAGATATGCTGTTTGTGCTGTTGGTAGCTAGTTAAATAGATAGTTCTAAGTGACTATCCTTTAAATCAGTTATTCCCAGTTATTTTGGTTTAAATGCGTATATGTTCGAGTCCCAATCTGGACATGACACTGTTACTAGTCAAAGTGACTTATCAATTATCTATGTTTTAAAGGATGATAGGAGGTTGGGGTGGGGGAACTATGTTCCTGATAATGATCAGGTTTTGTGGAGAATCTTCTCACTGGTATTATTTCTTCCTTTTAGTTCTTTCATCAAGTCACTTTTTAAAAATTATAACTTTAATAAATCAAAGACAATGAAAAGCATAAAGTATGATAAGATTTCAAATGCAAGTTTATATGTATTTTCTTATTTTGTAGGTTATATATCAATTGATGCTATGGAGAAATTCCTTGGGGAGTTACATGACTTCATTCCTGGAAGCTCAGGATATTTGGCATATCATGTTCAAGATGAAATTAACATGTCTGCTATAAAAAACAAGTTGAAGAGGAAGATTTGAGTTAAAATTTCTCTTGTATACTGGGTATTTATTTTCTATAAAATATTGCCAAAGATGTGCATAATTTAAATACTGCCCTTTAGGTCTGAAGGATGGGGAAATGGGGATGAGTTCTTCTCTTTCTCAACATGTGTCTTTAGGAACTCCAGAATCCTTTTGATGCTGTGTTTGACATTTGGATTGAATTTTTCCCCAGATTGTGTATGTTCACAAATTGAATTCACAGTTGTTAGGGAGTGGTTGTTATTGAAACACACTTCTTCATAAGAAGCTCTCTCTCTCTCTCTCTCTCTCTCTCTCTCTCTCTCTCTCTCAAATGTCCTTTTAATTTTAACATTTTATTATATTTTTTCTAGGTTCAATACTGTGAATGCTAAGTTTTATGACTCTGATTCTGATTATATTGATTTTTTGTGAACTAATATTTTAATTCATTCTTATGTGTGAATGGCTTCTGATAATAAATATATCAAAAGTGCATTAATACAGGCTATAAGTATTACATCATCTGAGATGATCCTGCAAGGTACCTTAAAACCCTGTTATGGAAAGTACTGTAGACAACTTCAAGTCCAACTCCTTTACTATTTTTTTTAATGACAAAATGAAGACCTTGAGAAGGGTGTCTTACCAGGGTGACTAAATGTGGGGGAGGGGCTTTCTTAATTTTCCAGGCTAGTGCTTCCCACTCTTCTGCATGGCATGTGCTGTAGCCTCTGTGTCAGGTATTTCTGTGTTGTTTTGTTTTTTGAGACACAGTCACTCTGTATTGCCCAGGCTAGCCTGGAACTTCTGGGCTCAAGTAATCCTTCTGAATCAGTCTTCCAAGTAACTGAGACTACAGGTATGTACTACCACATTAGCTTCTCTGTGTCTCTTAAGTAAATATTGAAATGTAGTGATATCAAGAATTTTTACTGACAGGATCATGCTATGACTCAATTTTCAAGACAGAAAATTCTAACACCACTATTGGCATCAAATTTGAGAATTTTTTTCCCATTTGGTAACGTTTCCTTATTTATATTAACATCTATGGCTGAGTCCTTCTGAACTTGTAAATTTAAAATAACCACACTAAATCTTCTTTTTCTAAAACATATTAAACATTATCTCTCCTGAACAATCTTAAATCACATTCTGTTGATTGTTTCTTACACAGAAATCAAGCTTGAGTCTAGATTTTAAATTAATAGTAAGAGGATTACATAAATTTATACCAAGTTGTGTGCATTGGGATTTCTTGGTAGAGAGTATTAAGTATTTTCCCAACATATGCATGTGCTAATATAGTTAATAAAAACCTAACAAAAACAAAACAGAAGTGTTTCCCAAATAAAAGTGATTAATTTTTAGAGGTATATAGAAAAGCCAAATACAACATACACTCTTGAAATACTGATAGAAGGAATAAAATTAGTTGACATACCTTTCAGGAAGTTAAAAAGCAGTATGATTTTTGTTGTTGCTTATATAAACTCTTTATTTTCCCCAGTATATCTGATAGATGTTGCTTCTGGCTCCTATCCACTTTTGTTTCAGAACTCAAGACACATCTTGCAGATATGTCTTCTCTAATGCTTTCAACAATTATTCATAGTCATCTCTCATATTGTTTAAGTACTGTTAACTACCTAGCATGTAGTTTTCATTTCATCTTAGTTCTTTCATCCTTTGTGAACAGTTTTTCTTTGTATCTTTTGATAGGATTTTATGCAATTAGGTAAGTTATGAGTGATTGGCCAAGTCTGCTAATTATTTTTTTTTAATTTTAATTTGTTTATATGACAATAGAATGCATTAAAATTCATATTACACATATAGAGCACAATTTTTCCATATCTCTGGTTATACACAAAGTAGAGTCACATTCTTCATGTCTTTATACATGTACTTAGGGTAATGATGACCATCGCATTCCACTGACTTTCCTACCTCTAAGCCTCCTCCTTTCCCTTCCCTCCCCTTTCCCACTTTGCTCTGTCTAGAGTTCATTTAACCCTCCTACCACCACCACCACCCTCCGGAAGCATATTATGAATCAGCATCCTTAAATCTGAGAAAACATTTGGCATTTGGTTTTGGGGGATTGGCTAATTTCACTTAGCATTATATTCTCCAGCTCCATCCATTTACCTGCAAATGCCATGGTTTTATTTTCTTTTAATGCTGAATAATATTCCATTGTGTATATATACCACATTTTCTTTATCCATTCATCTACTAAAGGGCATCTAGGTTGGTTCCAAAGTTTAGCTATTGTGAATTATGTTGCTATAAACATAGATATGGCTGTGTCTCTTTAGTATACTGTTTTAAGTCCTGTGGTATAGACTAAGGAGTGGGATAGCTGGGTCAAATGGTGGTTCCATTCCCAGTTTTCCAAAGATTCTCTATACTTCTTTCCAGATTGCCTGCACCATTTTGCAGTCCCACCTGCAATGTATGAGTGTGCCTTTTCCTCTACATCCTCGCCAACACTTATTGTTGTTTGTATTCTTAATAGCTGCCATTCTGACTGGAATGAGATGAAATCTTAGTTTTTATTTGCATTTCTCTAATTGCTAGAGATGTTGAACATTTTTTTCATATATTTGTTGATTGATTGTATATCTTCTTCTGAGAAGTGTCTGTTCAGTTCCTTGGCCCATTTATTGATTTGGTTATTTGATTTTTTGGTGTTAAGATTTTTGAGTTCTTTATATATTCTAGAGATTAGTGCTCTATCTGAAGTGTGTGTGGTAAGAATTTGTTCCCAATTAGTAGGCTCTCTATTCACCTCACTGATTGTTTCTTTTGCTGAGGTTTCTTTCGTTTCTTTAGTTTGAATCCATCTCATTTATTGACTCTTGATATTAATTCTTGCTCTATAGAAATCTTATTAAAGAAGTCAGGGCCTAATTCAACATGATGGAGATTTAGGCCTACTTTTTCTACTAATAGATGCAGTGTCTCTGGTTTAATTCCTAGATCTTTGATTCACTTAGAGTTGAGTTTTGTGATGGTGAGAGATAGGGATTTAATTTCATTTTGTTCTGATGGATGTTGCTTCTGGCTCATGGATTTCCACTTTTTTATGGATTTCCACTTTTCTCAGTACCATTTGTTGAAGAGGCTATCTTTTCTCCAATGTACGTTTTGGGCGCCTTTGTCAAATATAAGACAACTGTAATTATGTTGGTTAGTCTCTGTGTTCTCTATTCTGTACCATTGTTCTACAAGTCTATTTTGGTGCCAATACTATGTTGTTTTTGTTACTATTGCTCTGTAGTATAGTTTAAGTTCTGGTATAGTGGGAATCTTGCTAAGGATTGCTTTAGCTATTCTGGGTCTCTTGTTTTTCCAGATGAATTTCATGACTACTTTTTCTATTTCTATGAGGAATACCTTTGGGATTTTGATTGGAATTGCATTATATCTGTATAGTGCTTTTGTTAGAATGGTCATTTTGACAATATTAATTGTCAAAAGACAATTAATTATCCAAGAGCAAGATAGATCTTTCTATCTTCTAAGGTCTTTATTAATTTCTTTCTTTAGCATTCTGTAGTTTTCATTGTATAGGTCTTTTCACCTCTTAAGTTGATTCCCAAGTGTTTTACTTTTTTGGTGCTATTGTAAATGAGGTAGTTTTCCTTTCAGAGGATTTGTCACTGATAATGCAGAAATGCCTTTGATTTATGGATGTTGATTTTGTATCTTGCTACTCTGCTGAATTCATTTACTAGTTCTAGAAATTTTCTGGTGGAATTTTTTGGGTCTTCTAGGTATAGAATCATATCGTCAGCAAATAGTGCTAATTTTGAGTTCTTTGTTACCTGTTCTTATCCCTTTAATTTCTTCCATCTGTCTAATTGCTCTGGCCAGTGTTTCAAGAACTGTGTTAAATAGAAGTGGTAAAAGAGGGCATCCCTGTATTGTTCCAGGTTTTAGAGGGAATGCTTTTAATTTGTCTCCATTTAGAATGATATTGGCTTGGGGCTTAGCATAGATAACTTTTATGATGTTGAGATATGTTCCTGTTATCCCTAGTTTTTCTAGTGTTTTGAATAAAAAGAAGTGCTGTATTTTGTCAAATGCTTTTTCTGTGTCTATTGAGATGATAATTTGATTCTTATCTTTGAGTCTATTGATGTCATGAATTACATTTAGTGGTTTCCGTATGTTGAACCAACCTTGCATCTCTGGAATGAACCCCACTTGATTGTGGTGTTCTATCTTTTTGATATGTTTTTGTATTCAATTTGCCAGAATTTTATCTAGAATTTTTGTATCTATGTTCATTAGAGATATTGGCCTGAAGTTTTCTTTTTTCTTTTCTTTTTTTTTTTTTTTTTATGTGTCTTTTCCTGGTTTTGGAATCAGGGTGATATTGGCCTCATATAATTAGTTTGGAAGTGCTTCCTCTTTTTTCTATTTCCTGAAATAAATTGAAGAGTATTGGTATTAGTTCTTCTTTAAAAGTCTTGTAGGACTCAGCTGTGTATCCATCTGGTCCTGGGCTTTTCTTGGTTGATAGGCTTCTGATGGCATTTTCTATTTCATCACTTGAAATTGATCTGTTTAAATTGTGTATGTCATCCTGATTTAAGCTGTGCAAATCATATGACTCTAGAAATTTGCCAATACCTTTGATATTTTCTATTTTATTGGAGTACATGTTTTCAAAATAATTTTAAATTATTTTCTGTATTTCTATGTTGTGATATTTCCTTTTTCACTATGTATGCTAGTAATTTGAGTTTTCTCTCTCCTCTTTGTTAGCATAGCTAAGGGTCTGTCAATTTAATTATTTTTTAAAAAAAAAACAACTTTTTGTTTTGTCAATTTTTTCAATTGTTTCTTTTTTTTATTTCATTGATTTCAGCTCTATTTCTAATTGTTTCCTGTCTTCTGCTGCTTTTGGTGTTGATTTGTTCTTCTTTTTCTAGGGCTTTGGGATATAATATTAGGTCATTTATTTGTTGACTTTTTCCTTCTTTTAAGGAATGAACTCCATG